AACCATCTTCACCTGCTTCGAGTGGGCCAACGGAAACCACTGCAAAGCCTTCAACTCCATCTGAAGCGGCAACTACGCCGACATCCCCTACTCCTTCTGAGCCTGAACAGTCAAGCGAAGCATCACAAACCACGCCCAGCTCTTCAACAGCTTCAGAACCCGCAGAGTCTAGCGCGCCTACTGAAGCCACTCCCCAACAGGAAATTTCCAGCCAATCGCCTGAAACTACCCCGAAATCTTCAACTGCCCCTGAGGCTGAGGAGTCAAGCAGCCCTACAGAAACCACTCCGAAATCCCCATCTTCTGCTGATGTAGAAACCTCCAGCCAACCGCCCAAAACTACGCCAAGTGAAGCATCGGAAACTCCTCCATCTTCTGCAACAGAAGCAACCCCCACCCCAGTGAGTCAGTTACCGGAAACCTCCCCAGAAGCTTCAGTTTCTACCGGCCAATCACCGGAACCTACTCCTAGTTCCCCAATTCCCTCGGAAACCTCACCAAATCCCTCCACTTCACCTGCACTGGAAACCTCGCCAAAACCCTCCGTTCCCTCAGAAGCGCAGTCAAGCGCTCCACTGGAAACCCCTGCTGTTTCTGAGCCGCTGCGAAGCGGGTCATCAGAAGTCACTCCCCAGGCATCAGAAGCAACAACACCCTCCCCACGTGGGGAGAGTGGGTTGCCCCCTGAGTCGTGCGAACCGTCTTCGACTCACTGTGGGCAACCTACTGAGGTTTCCACGGCCACACCAAATCCTGCAGGGCCAGAGAAGACTAATGAGCCTCCCCCAAGTGAACCTGGAGCTGATGGGGATAGTGAGTGTCTTCCAGACGCCCCAAAAGGGGCTGCATGCAGCCCACCAACTTCTCCTCAGGTATTTCTTTAATGAAGCCTCCCCAGTCTAGTTTTGGATTAAGACGTCAAGTAAATGTGAGCAGGAGCCTACGCAATCGCCTCCATGTGGGGAGCAAAACCAACCATGCCCAGAGCCTACAAAGGCGCCAAAATGCGATTCAGCTCTTGGAGCCTGCCCGCCTCAGAACAAGCCCCAACTGGAGCGCAACACTCAGAAGCCGCCAACACTGGGGAGTCGCTTCAAGGAGACCACCTCAGGTCCAGACGACAGGGAGCCGCTTTCTGAACCTCCGCCTCCTGCTCCAGGTGAGTGAATCTGACCAGCGGGGTTGGGATCAATTGGAGGGTGTTCCAGGTACTTACAATGTGAAAGATTGTGTGGCTCGGCACAAGTTCGGGATGTACGCGCACCCCACTGATCCCAGCAAGTTCTACATGTGTTCCAAGTCGAAGCTTTTGCAGATGAGCTGTCGCGAGGGCTTGGAGTTTGATCCAGCGGCGTTTGGATGCAACCGCCCCAAATCGACTCCACCTCCTCCTCCTCCAGGTCAGCTGCTGTCCTCGAGATAGGTGTGGGTTTAACTCAATTCTGTTCCAGAGCTGAATCTTCACGAGTGCCTCACTCAGTACAAGCGGGGGCTGTTTCCTCATAGGGCGGACTGTTCCAGGTTTTTCGCCTGTTCCAGGCGAGGCCCCATTGAGATGGTTTGCCCTGGCGGGCTCCATTTCAACCCAATAAAACTGGTTTGCGACTGGCCCTCCAAGTTTTGCGTGAGTCCCGGCGCGAAGACTCGCGATAAGAGTGAGTGAACCCCGTAGTTTCCCTCCAGCAAACCGCATGGGTTTTAAAGTTTTCCAGGCCATGAAATCGGATAAAATCGCCCCGGACGTAGTGGACAGATGTCCGGAAAAGCTGGCCGAAGTGGCGTTTCCAAGTGGCGGGCAGGTGGACCTGGGCAAGGAGTTGACGCCCTCGCAAACCCTCACGCCTCCCAGCATCTACTGGGAGGCGGACAAAAAGTCCCTCTACACGCTCTGTATGGTGGATCCAGACGCGCCCCGCACCAAGGAGTCGAACAAGCCGAACCAATGGAACCACTGGACAGTGGGGAACATTCCGGGCAATCAGATCGCTCGCGGACAGCCATTGGTCGAGTATCTCCCTCCTTGTCCGGCAAAGAACAGCCCGCCCCACCGCTACACCTACATGGTCTACAAACAGCCCGCTAGGATCAACTTTAAGGAACCGCGGGTTGCAGCCAACTCGTTCCAGCATAGGGATGGGTTCTCCTTGAGGAGCTTCGCGCAGAAGTATCAGCTGGGCAACCCGATTGCTGGCAATTTCTTTAAGTGCCGATGGGACCGATCAGTCCCAATGATCTTCCAGAGGCTCCAAGTCCAGCCGCCTCCCTTTAGGATGGTGATTCGTCCGGGCGTCAGCCAATCAAACGTGCACTCTTACTCCTATTCGTTTAGTTTTAGAAATTAAGTTTTCGTGTTGGTGCGAGTAAACAATAAACCGCTTTTTCAGGTTTTTTTATATATATCTCCGGACTGGGTTGAAGTAGAAACATGGCAGTTTTTGCGTTAAACAGGAAAAGCTTGGGGTTAGCGGTGGCAGAGGTTTCATTTTCCTACCATCAGCAGGGATTTTTTGGTGAATTTTCAAATAAAAACCTGTTTAAATCCTTTTTTTTTCAAAGGCTAGTTTGAAAAATGAATACCTCTGAACCGGGCACAGATGTAAACGTGGCAGTTCTTGCTTTAAATAGGGAAAACTTCGCTTCATAAGGGGCAAGAGTGCAATCTGTGCCACAATTTGGGAATTTTTGGCGAATTTTCAAAGGAAGTTATTAGCCACATCTAGGCCTGGGTAACTCAATGAAGTTTTAGGAGTTGGCGCAGTGCCACGCAAATGGCTTGGTGCGCCAACCCAACGCACCGGCGCAACTCAGTTCCGTTGCTGGGAAAATATTGATGACTTTTTACGTGTTTTTAGATTTATTTTGAGGGCCCTTTATCAATAATATTTTTAACCGTTCTGAAAAATTTCAAAATTTTGCAGTTTTAGCAAAGTTACTCTTTTTCCTAAATGCACAATTTTCGAAAGATTCTCTTAAAAAAAATACTGACAATTTTCAGGAATTTTTCGCGAAAAATTATGAAATACATTTTATTAGAACACACGCCTCTTTCGTCGCTTTGTAAAAAGTTTTTAAATACCTTTCCAGCTTTGAATTTGGGACAAAAACCAAATAATTTTCTATCAATTTTGACTGATTTTCTTGCTTTACTTTCGACTCAAAAACGCCCTATGCGAGTTTCGCGTAAAAATGCTGACGATTTGGAGGGCTTTTACGCGAAAAATTACAAGATAAATCTATAGTTTTGTAGCAATTTTACAAAACCTTTTCAGCGTCGARTTCGGGACAAAAMCGAAAATAAATKTATCTCGTTTCTTCGTTTTCGTAAAAACCGATTACAAAACTAAAAGTTTTTAATCAAAAACGCACAAAAAAACATTATTTTCTGATGATTTTTTTCTTTTCAGCCAAAAATGAAAAAAATAATTTTGTCAGAAAATTCGCGCTATTCATCGGTTTGCAGGGGACTTTTGAAAACGCTTTTCAGCTTCGAATTTGGCTCAAAAACCAAATAATTTTTTGGAAAATTTGCCACCCTCATCGCTCTGAAGAGTTTTCAAGTTTCTTTAAACTTTCAGGTCATTCCAGTTTTAGCAGAGTTTCCATTAAGCAATTATTTCTACGCAAAAAACATATAATTTTTGCTTAAAATACTGACAATCTTCCGGTATGWTCTGCGAMAATTATRAAATAAATTTTATTGAAACACTCKGCTCCTGAACAGCTTTGTAATSTTTTTTCTKGAACMTTTTGCAGCTTCGAATTTTGGACAAAACCTTAATATTTTTGCTGGATTTKTTCCCAAAAATATTTTCCCGAACAKAACAAGTTTAGAATCAATTATTCGGAAAATTCGTCACTTTTGTCGCTGTGAATAATTTGGTTTATTTAAATTCCGGTTTCTTCACTTTYAGGTCAATATTTCCAAACAGAACAACGCGATATTAAAGTTTTACCGTAAAATATTGGCAAATTGAGTCTTTYATGCAAAAAAGTTAAAAGATGGATTTACAAGAAAAGTTGTCGTCTTTACAGTTTGGTCTTCTTTATCGTCTTTTTCGAATACCCATTTTACCTTTRAATTTGAGACAAAATCGAAACAAAGTTCTTGTTTTGTTTCGACAAAATTTAGGTTTTCTCAAAAAAACGACCAGAGAAACCAAAAACATATAATCAATATCGCTCTGAACTCTTTTTAAGTTTCATCAAAATTTCCTGATTTTCCMGTTTTAAACYAAATAGTTTCAAGTAATTGTTTTCGCAAAAACCGATCACAAAACTAAAAGTKTTTAATCAAAAACGCAAAAAAACATTATTTTCTGATGATTTTTTTCGTTTCGGACAATAATRKGGTCTTTTCAGCCAAAAATGACAAWATTAATTTTGCTRGAAAATTCACCTCATTCATCGGTTTCCAGGGAACTTTAGAAAACCATTTTCAGCTTCGAATTWGGCACAAAAACCAAATAATTTTGTTCAGTTTTTTACTGAAAGTATTAAGATTATCTTGAAAAAACGGCCAGAGCAAAAGTTTCCAAAAAATTATTTRGAAAATTCGCCACCCTCATCGCTCTGAAGAGTTTTCAAGTTTCTTTAAAATTTCRGGTCACTCCAGTTTTAGTAAAWACTCTATTAAGCAATTCTTCCTAAGCAAAAAACGTATTACTTTTACTTAAAATACTGACAATCTTCAGGTATTTTCTGTGAAAATTRTAAAATACATTTTATTGGAACACTCGGCWTCTGAACAGCTTTGTAATTTTTTTTCTGTAAACCTTTTGYAGCTTMGAATTTTGGACCAAAAGCAAAAACCCTAATAATTTTCTCTKAATCTTTTCCCAAAAATATTTCCCCGAACAGAACAAGKAAAAGTTTAGAAGCAATTATTCGGAAAAGTTGTCACTTTTGTCGCTGTGAATAATTTGGTTTATTTAAATTCCGGTTTCTTCACTTTTAGGTCAATTTTTCTAAACAAAACTCTCTCTAAACAAAACAACGCGTCCTTTAGGCAAAAAAGCTAAAAAATTTACAAAAAAAGTCGTTGCATTTACAGTTTGGTCTTCTTTATCGTCTTTTTCGAATACCCATTTTACCTTTGAATTTATCGGAACTCATTAGGCGCGGGATTTATATCAAAAGCAGGAAAACTACAAAAATGTTTCAATGTCGATGGTATTGAAAAACGCAGGTGGGCGAATGTTTCAAAGCCTAGTAATACAAAAAAATCCTTACAAAATGTACCTTCCTATTATCAAAGTAGGCAGACCGCCCAGCTATTTATTGAAGGCTGTACCAAGTCCGCTAATGACTTGGTACCGATGCCAAATAGCTAAAATCAGTTCAAAATTACAAAAAAGACATCAAGTGCATTGTTGCAAGAGTCGGGCCCAAAGTGGTACGTCTGGAAAAAACTGAAACAATGCACCTGTAAAATCACATTCAATCAATGGCTACTGATCTCCTTATTGAACACCTCCATGATCTTCTCCATTATTTCCCAGTGTTTATCTTTTTGCAGATCCTTGACGAAGACCGCGTACCAGGCCTCGTCGTCCAGATCTTCCATTAATGGCAACTGTACGCCGTAACATTGCAGAGCGAGTGAGATGCAGGCGACAGCAATGTGCTGGGGAGCGTAATCCAGTACGGCCGGGTCCATATGGAAGTCTTGGAGAAATGCGGCCGCCAATTTGGAAACAGGAACAGTTTCCCATGTGTCCTTGCCCAGCCTACGGAAGTGTATGAGCTTATTCCCGTTACATCCTAACCACTGGTTGCGACCTTACCAGCCTTCCATGCTCTTCAGGTAATGGAGCATGTACTTATGGGGGTGCACAGTGCCAACTTCGAACTTCAGCACGCGCATTATAAGCAGCTCCGCTTGCACGATGGCGTCCCGCATATTCCAGTATTCGTCTCCGATCTCCAAAGGACTGGAGCCCCTATGCAGGGTGTTGTGGGACACATTGATGATGTCCCGGATCTTCAGTGGATCGTCTTTCACCTTCCCAGCCAGGTACAAGGACGAAGAAGCAATCAGCTGGACAAAAAACAAATCAGCTGGACCTCAGTAGGTCAATGTTGATGTAGGCCTTACAAACAAATCATAGCCCATCGGGTCGACTTCCTTGAAGAATCGGTGCATAATAACAGCGGCTGTGGCCAAAGTCAGTGGCTGCCCATTCAGCTTCTTCCCACACTCAAAAATAAAGCTTGCTGGGGTAAAGCCCCCTTTGAAGTCCAACTGTCTATAATCCACTGTGGTGGTTCGTCGGGACTTCTCACGCTGCAGCTCCATAACATCAATAACGTCCTTCATGGCTCCAGATGGATCTACAAACAACCTCAAGCGTCTCTTTAGGCCCTGAACATATGCTCAGCTTTTGCGACCACAAATGGGCTTTAGTAGCAGTCAGATGAAAGAGTACAGCCTTTGCGGAGCACCACGTGCCCCGATGTGGTTTGCGAACGCACTAAGGCGCCCCCTGGGCCAGTTTGGGGCGCTGGCATTCAGCATTCTAACCTCGAAAACTTACCGTATGAAAATGAATGTGGAGTAAATCGGTGAAAGCTGAAGCCAACAGCTCGTTTGACGTGGAAATGTGGGTCGCCGAATTTGCAATGGGCACGATTCAATTAAATAGTTTTAATGATCTTTTAATCGGCCAAATGTCAGAGGTTTGCTAGGTTAGAATTGTCAATGTTTGGCCAGGTTGCCGCTTTGCTTTGGTGCCAGTGCGACAGAGCTATGGGCGGTATTGTCGCTTCGCTATCTGCAACCCTTTATACAGGCGTCTAAGCACTGTGTGTTCAAATTAAGTAGAAACTTAATCAAGTGGAAGTTTTTTTTATGGAAAAACCCCTGCTGTGCTTTCTGTTTTTCTAGTAGGGGACAGTTGAACTAATTGCCCCAATAGAGCGCCTACGGTGTGCCTAAAAAGCTGCGTTCTAGATTTTCATTTGAGCAATCTCCAAGTTAGCATGCAGGGAAAAGGCTTGTAGGGATTATTGGGAAAATTCCCGACTGTTCCAGGCAGGCAGGGTAAGTTCAAATTGCCCTCACTGACGGGATAAATGGTGTCCACCTGCCAAATCCGCCGGATAAACTGTATTTAAAGAGATTTGGAGTAAAACCGCTTGTCTATGTAGAATTAGGCACGTTGGGGCCGGGATCTGGATTAGCAAAGAGCGAAAATCGCCAAAGAATTCTATCACATATTCCTGCAAGCGGCAGCATTCTTTCCATAAATCTTCAGCGGCCAAGCTCGACCAAATCTGAATATTAAGTGTCGCTTAACTGTTCAAACACCTTCATTCGGAGGTTTCGTAAAAAATCAGGAACTATTTTTTGATATCATAAATAACGACAAACCGTTAGTCTAATGTACCGTAATCTATCATTATAATCGCCTAATCTATTAGTTGGACGCACTGAAATGCGCTAATTAGGACATTGATTGGGTCGCATGCATATTCTTCAGACGAATCGCTTGAGGAATGAATAAAATCGCCGTAGCTTGGGGGCTTTCAGCCCCATTTGGCCCAATTTTCCGCCGATTTTCGATGAAGCCATTGACACCATCCTTCTTCAAACCAGTTTAATTTGTTTCTTCGCAGGATTCGGAGGTTGATGAACTTATTCAAATGTTGTGGTCGAAGGTGCATTGATACCGCTAAGATTTACATAAAAATGCGCTCTTCTTTCGAGGAATCTTCCATTAATAATCATCTGGATTCCATTATATTCTGATGATGGCTGGTTCTTCACCTCGGATGCTTCATGAATACCCGACTATTTCCTTGGCGGAAACTAATAAATGCATACGCGACCAAACAGCGGCAGAAATTTAATTCCATATGCATCAGGATGATACCGCGTAATCTTCTGGTCGGTGACACAAAAAATGAGGAAAAATCGTCAACCAGCCGGGGTATAAATAAAAGAAGCGCCCAAGAAAGAGCACTTAAGGCCAAGAACTCGGCCGCAAAAGTTTGATTTACAGTTACGCTTGTGGGTTTTTGTGTGTGAGTGATTTGTTATCGGATTGTCGGTATGTTAATTCAACTAATCATTTAATCAAGAGTCGAGACGCAAATTCTGGAAAAACGCGGCCTCTGAGCGTTCAGAACTACTCAAGGAGCAGCTAAAAGCATTAAAAAATGCCTGATTATTTCGGATTTTGCAAATTTTTCTCAGTTGCTGTGTTCGAGCTTAGCCAACAACAGTTTTTCGTTTGACCAGTTCTCAGTTTAACCATGAACATTTTTGCAATGAGAGACCAGATTCTGATCGCTCAGCAAATTCCAATTCTAAAAAAGGGCTCAAAAAGCTACGGCCTTTCCAGCTCCCATTGAGTGATTTAAAGGGACTTCTGCACGCTCAGAACTGCTCCTCTTTTCAAGCTAGGGTTCTGAGGGTTGAAGAATCGCCGAATTGCCCCCTAGGCACGTAGGCGTTGTTGCGACATTGGCAAATTATCCCTGAAATGGTCGTAACACTCATACCTCCCATTTAAGGGTACTTTAGCAATAACATTTTGCGCATGCAAAGCAGTGGGGCCTGATGCCCATAAACTGCAAAGGCCTTCACGCATTTATGTGACTTGAAAGCGAAAATATTTGGAAATCGAAATTTGCAGGCTCCATCCAGACGAAATGAATTGGATTGTGGCCATTCTGTCGGCAACGTTGCTGCTTCAGTGCACTGGTAAGCATTGCTGACTTACCTTCTAGAGAGGGATTTGCATGTGGACTGGGAAAAAGCGCCGTTATATTGACCCAAACGCCCATCGTTTTTCCATTCATATTTATATGGAAATATTTGTCCGAAGTTGAATGACTTCGGCAAGAAAACAGTGTGGGGGAGTGGGCATTTGCATGGATTTATGCGGGATTTTCATCATTTGTTGCCCAACCGCATACAAACCGCACAAAGCTGCAACTTATGCAAGCTCATGCTCATCCTCAAACGGTCTTTTGTGGTTAAATGCCTGGTTTATTTACTGTTGTTTCCGCTCTTACTTTGCAGAAGCTGCAAAAGTTGTCTGCTATTGGGGCACATGGGCGGTCTATCGACCTGGACTAGGCAGCTATGGGATGAAGGATATTCCAGTGGATCTATGCACTCACGTCATCTATTCTTTCATTGGGGTGGACGATAAATCCTGGGAAATCCTCATTATTGACCCCGAGGTACGTCCTCACAGCGTGAATCAACCGACTTACCCCTAGAGTGCTTTTGCAGTTCGATATCGAGCAAACTGGATTCAGGAATTTCACCGATTTGAAGAAAACTCACCCCCAGGTCAAGTTCCAAGTGGCTGTGGGCGGCTGGGCGGAAGGTGGCGAAAAGTACTCAGCAATGGTAGCTGATAAGTCCCGAAGGGACACTTTCATACGCAGCGTTGTTGGTAAGCAATCCGCTCAGCAGCAAGGGTGGGTCCAGGGGGGGGTCATGGGGGTACGAATTCTCTGGCTCGAATGGTTCTTGAGAAACCTCGAAAAAAGGAGCGTCATGTTCAAGTGGAATTTGCAACTCAAAAAAAAACCACTCAAATCTAAAACTTCTTGAATTCAAGCATTTTTTGAGAAAACTGCCAACATTTCCTTATCGATGGTTCACTTTCTAAAAAGGCCGTTTATTTCTCTCTAGAATGATGTACAAATGAGCGTTCTTGCTCATTTTGCCTCCGAGATATGAGCAAAAATAGGACGGAAAACATGAAATTTTGGCATAATCTTGAACCTAAGTGTTTGATATTCAAATTTCGCTTTCTGGGTCACAACTACTCGAATTTCCTCACTCACGTTGTTACGACTGAATCAACTTTTCAATTCTCTATCCAACGATGCCAAAACGAATTATGTGGCTCGAATGTAACTTCGAAAAAAGCAGCGTCATGTTCAAGTGGATTTTGCAACTCAAACAAAACCTCGCAAATCTAAAACTTCTTGAATTCAAGCATTTTTTGAG